GGGGGGGGTTGACGTCGACTCGCACTAAAATTTACTTTGTCTGCGGGGCGCGGTGACAGGTCGTGTTGCTCACGGGAAATAACTCAAGAAATAATTACGTTTAGCGCAAAAAAATTGAGACTGATATATTTCGCTTTGAATGAAATATAATTTGTGTATGGAACTCCTCCAGCTTGTGAATAGCTACTGTATACCGTTTTTATTATTTTTGTCTTCGTGTGCGACTTGAATTTGCAGTTTTCGCGACCTTTAAGAAATTCTCGAAATCAAGTCGTTCGCGAAATGTTGAAAGTGGCGCTTCTGCATTGTACACATCGTATTGGGCGACAGATTGCACATTCAAAACTTTTGCAAAAAACGAAATAAGCAAAGGACAAAACAAAAACACACACAAAAAAAAAGCGGCCGAAAATGGGAAAAAGAAAAAGAAATAGAAAAATCCAGTGTACAGCATTCCTCCTCAAAGAGAAAGGTTGGATAAAATGTAGTCGTTTTGTGCTCTCCACAGATCGTCACTTTGATAAAAAAAAAAGAAAACGAAAGACAGACGGGATGTGTTAAAACTAAGTATATTTTACCTTAACTACAATGAAGATTTATTGTTTGCTCTTGCTGTTTCACTCTTAGAAGTATCAACTCGGTATTCCAGATCCTATCGGATCTTGCTGAATAGAAAAGTAGGATAAAATTATGCCTATATTCGACAAGCTGTTCAAATGTTCTAAGCCTAAAAAGCGAAATTTTTCAGGAGATAAGAAGAAATATAATTTTATTTTAAAAACAAATTATGTACCTATTTCATGTATCTTTTCTTGCTTTCTTTTCAACATTTAGAATTTGAATTTCAACAAAACATTTTGAGCACTTACAAGCGCAATGTCACAGGCCACGAAACTTCAATCTAAAAAAAATAAATAAATTGGGCTTAGTACATCTGACCACCTGGCTGGCGCTATCCCAGTCATGAGTTCAAGCGAAATCTGTTCTGTCTTTTAGCTCCCAGTATCTATTCGGAAACGTCTCCGACGGAGATAAACCAATCAAAATGCTTTGTACCTCTAGACCAAGTAAAAAGATCTGTGGGGTTACAGGGGGGCATACCCCCCTGTTTTAACCCATAATTTGATAGTTTGCAGTTAAGTTCGAAATTTTTCTTGAAAATAATTGATTTGTGACAGTTTTAGTGGCTATATGTGTGAACTGCAGCAAATAATACGCAGTTTGACCCCTCCAAAGCAATGCATCTGTGTGCGGGAGTGCGTCTCCGAATAGTTCCTGATTGCTCGCCGGGGACGTCTCCGAATATCTCCAGCCTTTTTAGCTAGTTGTTCACTCACCCTGGAGAACTTTTGGGGATCGTGCATGAAAACAAATGAGGTGATCTTGAAGTCAAAGAGCATGCGCCAAAGGTCAGGGGTCGTCCTCCTCATGGGCCACTGCGTCACCAGATAGTTGTTCTCTGCGTGGTAACCCTGGTGATACAAACAGTGGCATTTGGAGAAACTCGCTTCCATCTCACACAAAGAGTCCAGCTTGAACATTTTCGAAATAAATGAATGAAAATGCTGAATGTCAATTAAGAATGGACATACATAACATTTTAAACTTCGGTCGGGCCAAGAGCTGAGTTGTTATCACGTTGGATTATGACGGTACAGACCCAAGCTCGAATACTCAAAGTGGGACTCTCAAGTGTGCGTGTATATCCTTGTACACACACACACATATATATATTTATACATATATATATATATATATATATATATATGTATAAAAAAATATATATTTCTTTCGAGTTATTGAGCTTTAAATGATTGAGGGTTCATGTGTGATGATGACGATGGTAATTCCATTATTTTTCTCTTGATTTTGAGAGAAAAACCCCCCACCCCAAAATCATCCGTTTGCAAAAGAGAACGACTAATAAAATTTTTCAGTCGTTCTCAAATTTCAAAACATTTTCATCAACACCTTGCCCTCCTCTGTTAATCTCGATTACCACAGCTGCTTTTCGTGTTTTTTTTTTAATACGCTGTGGGTTGTGATGAGCCATTAACGAAATGTCTTACAACTTACAGATGATTGCGTATTAATAATTATATGTCGATATTTTATACAAGGCTCACTGCAAAACTCAGTTTGACCATAATTATTATTACTCTCACTTCCCCTTCCCTTTCCATTTCAACCACAGTCACGACACCTAAATCTTGTACAATGTACAAGTTTTACAGCACTTGCAACACAATCAGGTCATATCATAAGTTAGTGTCAAAGATCTACAGTTGTTACAAGAGAGTAGCACAAAAAAGGATGTGAGAGAGAGAGAGAGAGAGAGAGAGAGAGAGAGAGAGAGAGAGAGAGAGAGAGAGAGATTGATAAGGATAACATATATTTGATAGGAAAGAAGAAGCAAACCACACCAGAGCACCCACCAACCACCCACACACCTAGGTCTGCTTATACCAGTTTGTATACGTCATACTATTGACCACTGCTGTTCTCTGTCTCTTATTCTGCCTTGTTTTCCGTCTTGGATTTTTTTGGGGGGATGTCCCCGGCGTCTGGGGTGTTGTGGTTAAGCGATCCGGCATCACACGCAGAAGAGCTGAGTTCAATTCCCTAGTTAGGAGACTTTTTAAATAGAGTATCTCAGGTTTTTTTTTACTGGTAGTTGTATGTCTCTCAGCCAAGGTTGGCTATGACAGACAGGGCCGACCTCTTACATTATTCGAATTGTGTTGTGAGGGCTAACAATACCCTAATTACAAAAAGAACGAAGCAGGCATCGGGAATCATGGTTTGTCTTTCATTTCTTTGCTTGGGTGCTCTGAAAAATCTGAGTCAACCCGTTCTTTCCATGCCACGCTTATGTTTAGATTCTCTAAGTAAGTTACTCTTAGTCTACCCTTGCCTCGTCCGCCTTTTATTTTTTCCAGTGAGGGCAAGATGCTCAGGTCTTTTGTGTCGATTCGTGTGTTCCAGAAACGGCATTAGTCTGTTCCTAATTGTTTTTATTAGTGACCCAGCCACGCGGGCTTCTTTCAGTTCTACATTATTAGACTTCATTTCTTTCCTTCCATAAACTTTTCAGCAGTCACTCCTAAGAATTTTTTTTTTTTTTTTTTTTTTTTTACTTCTGTAGCCTGCTTTTTTAAAATTATTTTTGTTATATCATATCTGCTTATTGTCCAGCAATCACGGCCAAAAGAAAGAATGACAACACATAGAGTTTTTTTTAGAACTCCCATTTTAGGTGGGTTTTTTTTTTCAAATGTTGGTGTTTTTACGCCTGTATCGGTATAATTTTCATTTAGATCATTTCACGGGTGGGCTTCCCTTCCTGCCTGTCGGAGCCAACCCGGTCTGAGAGGGATACAATATACCAGCAGAAAGACCGAAATACTCAAAAATAAAATTCTCCCCACTCGGGAATCGAACTCGGGTCTCATGCGTACGACTGAAAAGCGCCAAACGGCTACACCACTGATGCCAGGCATATTCTAGTAGTTACTGAGATGTTTATTATGTTTTTCAGTATTGGTCTCATCTTACCGAAACTGTCTTTACCTATAATTGCAGTTCTCCGATTTATTTCTGTGTAACATCAGGCGTCGGATGTAATGTTACATCCTTGATAATGGAACTATTGGACTACTTTGATTGATTTTTTTTCACCTTTGCATTTAAGATTGCAATTAGCACTTACTGTTTTTTAAATGTTACGATATACTATTTTCTTTACATTAGAAAATAAACATATGCGGTCATTTTCTGTCACGACAATATCTAGAAACATCTGAAAGACCTTTTTTTTCAAAATCTGCAATTAAATTACAGCAACATATCTGAATAGATCTTACAATTATTTTTTCAATTCACTCTGAGACTTGGACTTTCATCTATATTTCTAAGGATCGTTTCACTGTGCATATTACAGTGGTCTGGTGATATAACGCATCATTGCCGAACTCCTCTTTTAATATGTTCATATTCGCTGTTCTCTTCTTCAATAAATACAGATCTAGATAATATAATAATATTTTAGTTTAGTTTTAGTAGAGGTTTTACGGCGCTCGCAACTGCATAAGGTCATATGAACGCCAGAAGATTAGAGGTGTTACAAGAGAGGAACAAACATAAAAAGGAAGGAGGAGAGATAAGGACGATAGATGTTTGATAGGAAAGAAGAAGCAAACCACACCAGAGCACCCGCCAACCACCCACTATAATAATATGTTTAACATGTCCCGGGGGGCTCTCGTGGCCTAGAGGTTAAGGTGTTGGCCTTTCACTCAAAAGGTCCCGGGTTCGAAGAAAATTTTCTTCTCTAAATTTGTCTCCTTTCACCTCATTTCCTGCTCTCTAGCAATGTTCTGTCGTCTGCTTTCGTCTCCACTTTCTGCCCTCACCCCGTCACCTCCTTTGCCCCTTCCTCTGGGCTCCTGATTCTTTCTGCAGCCTTTCTACTGCTACTCCTTCGTTTCTTCTTACTGCAGTCTTTCAGCCACACCCCTGATCTTCTGGTAGGAAAGATCTACACCTAGCCTTCTCGGACAAGGGCGAAAAATCTCGGAGGGCCGTGTGCAAGTTGCGCACGTTAAAGATCCCTTGGTGGTCTAAAATCGATAAGAGTAGGCTTCGGCCGCCACCCGGACAAAATTCAAAATTTCCTACCAACTGAAAATGTTAGTGTGTCCCGCGCGCTCATATGACCTATGCAGTTGCGAGTTCCGAGCGCCGTAAAACACTCTACTATATAAAAAATAAATAAAACATAAATAAATAACGTGTCCCGCACGCTCATGACTAGTGAGTTTAGACTCAAGTAATGTCAAGCAAGTGTCGGTGACACAGGGATCAGATGGGTGGTCACTAGAGTGTGTCCTTGAGCAAGACACGATAACCTTAGCTCAAAACACAGGGCGCTGCACAGTGGCGACCGACAGTGGCATTGTTGTAAACTGTTCTGCATTTGTGTAATATTGTGTATTTATGTATGTATTTATGCATGTATTTATGTATATACATAATTATAATTATGTATTTATGTATGCATGTTTGCCATTGTAAGCCAAATTGCCCTTCTGGGACAAATAAAAGTGTACTTTATTTATAATTATTTATAGAATGTTTAATTTTCTTACCATATTTCTTGAGCTTTAGTTATGATTTCAGGTGCAGGTTTTGTTTTGCTGCGGCCTCAAATGACCATCCCTCGATTATGCTAGCTTCTCTTTATAATAACAAATCGCCCCAGTTTTTGTGTTCCCGGGAAGATTGTAATTTCGCGCCCTTTCACTGCAGTGCCTGGCAGTTGATGCTGAGGCAGACGCGGACAACAGTGCTGTGTCAACAGAAGGGATCACGAGTAATTAGCAAATGGAAGAGGTCTTCCGTTGCTGCGAAGCAACTGTATTCCGCGCTGTGCTCTTCGTCCATTACGCACACAAAGCCCAGTGATCAATGGGCATTTTTGTCCCTCTTACCCCCCCAACTAACCTTTTTTCCCACAATCGTGTTAGGCAAAGAACCATGATCAAATCTTAAATATCAATTGCACGCCAGTGCACGCCTCTCGGCCTCCACTGTGCAGGAATAATTGCTCGCGTTCCAGCAGCTCGTTATTTTATTTCACAAGTTCGTGTTTGAAACGCAAAAAAGAAGATAAAAATAAAAAATAAGTGCAAGGTTGGGGGAAATTGGGGCAGTTGGTTGAGAGGTTAGTAGTGAAGACCGCACACTCAATCACAGCAGACGGAGACGAGGGAGGAGCAATATTATTGTTAGTATAATCGTTCCGTTTTGTAATGTGTGTCGTAGTAAGCTTTACCGGCGTCTATGGTGCAGCGGTTAAAAGCAATGCCGTAGCACGCAGAAGACCCCACTTCGATTCCCGAGAGGGGATAAGTTTTATCAATAGGCTAGCCCAGGGTATGAAAAGGTGGATAGTGTTTGTTCGTGGCGTATACTCCGATGCAGGGTGTGAGAGGCAATGATGATGATGATGATTCCTGTTTTTCTGCTCGGATGTTGCATCCCTTTCAGTTCGGGTTGGCCCTCGACAGACAGGGCCGAACCCCGCTTCCTAAAGAATCTCAGATGTGATGATGCGGACGGAAAAGCAACTTCTTTAAAATAATAAATAGTACGCTTTATAATAATATGTAACTACAAATGTTTGCGAATCAAATTTTCGAAACAGTTCCTTTGAGCGGCCCTTTACTTTTTATTTTGGTGACTTCTATTAGCATACGTTTGTTTCTAGTCTCCCATTTTGTTTGACTTGTTGCGCAGGCCACAGTTTGAATCTATGTAAGTACAAACGATATTGATAATCATGGTACTGCTTCCCGTAGACAGTGCTATAGTGCTTATTATTGCAGGCGTTACTTTGTGACATATTTCGAAATATCTAAACACCTGCATGTTTTGCTTCTTTATTTGCTTAGTTACGTGTTTGTTTGTTTGTCTGTTTGTTTGTTTTTTGTTGTTGTTGTTGTTGTTTTTTTTACTTATTTGGCTGTTTGTTTTGGGGTTTTTTTTGGTGTGGTTTACTTTTCAAAATTTTCCTGTGACATACTTTGGCATTAACCTTGAGTGCGCACTCATGTGAACACGAATTGTAAGGCTAGCTTTAAGTTCATGTCAAATGTAGTGTAAAGAGATTGTCTGGTACTACATGTTTTATGCTTGACAAATCATCCGCTTTCTGTAAAAACTCCGATTCGTGCAAATGATAGTGTGGAATAATCCTAGTTCAGCTCCCTGTTGCTTGTTCACGATCTATTCTTTCAGTAGGTTGATTCTGATGCCAAGACTCCTCCTTCTTTCGCGCACAATGTACTCACCCCTAGGGTACCCCCGATCTCGGATCGCCGCTCTGCGGAGAGGTCGGTCTGATGTATCGCTCGGCTCTCGGTAATCCAATCCGTCTGACACTACGGTCGTGGCGTATCCCAGCGGACTGTGATAGAGTGTGCCCATTTCTCCGATTGCCCGATTATTCGGTTTAATTTGTGCTCCGGCAACAGTCAGAATGACTTATCATCACTCTTCCTAACATTGATACCTGCGCGGCAGAGTCCTTTCCTTACTTCGGAAACGTAACGTGTTCGCTGCGATTGTCAAGTTATTTGTGAGGTTTAGTTTGCTTGGTTGGGTGGGGGGGGGCTCTCGTGGCCTAGAGGTTAAGGTGTTGGCCTTTCACTCAAAAGGTCCCGGGTTC